AGAGTTAAACATTTGCAGGAGCAGAAGAAAGCAACTCTTCCCCTTTTAGGGGAAAGCAGCTGGTCTTCAATCAGGGCCTGTAAGATCACTGGTAAAGTCTCCTACTGCATATTTATTGTGTCATGTATACTGACTTAAATGGTATCAAACACTCAAAGTACCCAATTGATAATTGTAGAAGTACTTGGTTGAGATGTATTTTTCCTGTTCACATTTCTTGCCAAATGGCTTTGCACCAGAAGGTTTTTCACTAGGATGTCAATCCACCCAGTATTTGACTCAGGTGACTAATTCTCACATGCAGGCTTTGACAATGAATTCCTATTCACACAAATGAGAATCATAGAGGTTGTTCACTTGTTACCAGAAACAAGAAACCTAGCCCAGCTTACCAACACTCCCCACGCAGAAACTCAAGGACATCAAATCAATGGTAACACTTATACCATCATGGTTTTTGTGGTTCATTTGGAGGTTCAAATAGAGATCAGACTAAAATGGAGCTGGATGACATCTTAAGGTGTACCTTCAAGAAATGAATGTTATACCAACTTCCCTACGTTAGTTCATTAAGCAATTCAATACTGATCTTATTACATTGTTTCTCTAGTGTCTCATTATCCTGTGTAATTAATATTTGTAGTTTGAAAAACATCTGCTTGTTTCATTTCTTTTGCTTTGGAAAGTTTATCTAGCCTTCTCATTTTAGCTAATGGGGCCAGATGCAGGACAGACTCAGAACATTGTCAATGTGTTCCATAGCTTGCTCCCTGGAAGCACGTGAAAGCATGACAGGCTCTTCAGGAACACTGCAGAATCACAAGGCAGCTTCAAGCAACTCACAAACTGCAAAATTACACTAAAACACTGAGTGCAGCCATACAGTTTTCCTCACCTCATCAATTAACTTCCTGGCATTGGCTGTTGTGTAATCTCCAGCAAAAAACACTACCAAGCACAATTCATCGCTGTTCTTCTGCCTGTGCCCCCGCGTGACTGGAACAATGCTCCTATTCAGCTCGGTGGAGATCCGAACTGATTTGAACTCTTCCAAATCAGGAAGAGGAATGAAATCCTGGGGTATTGCATCTTCAGGCAATAAGGTCCAGTTGTTTTCATCTGCAACAGGGGTGAAGTCATGGATGTTGCTCCAGTTGTTGTTGAAGATGCTCAAACCTGCATCTTTGAACTGGTAGCCCAACTCAGGATAATAATATTGGAAACAACCAAACTTCATGCCCGTAGATGATTCGATGATAGGCTGTGTGGCACAACATAGGAAGATGTCCATTTTTTTGCAATCACGAGTGCGGAATTGCTGACAAGCAACAATACATTTGCAGTCTGTACAGTCACGGAAAAAGACACTGCCCTTGATGGGTCCTAGAAATATCCTGCAGTTGGAACAGTCGTCAATGGTGATTGTGGCAGAGTGGTCAAAAACATAAATGTTGCAATTTTCACATTCTTGGATCACAAATTGCTCACCAGCAACTTTACCAGGCAATCGGCCCACTGTTTCATCCTTTAATTGAGCCAGCATATAGTCCTTGACATCAATCTATAGGAATAAAAAGCAAAACAAATTACTTCAAACATAGACAAAAATATCTGTTCCAATCTACTGAACAGAAGTGAATCTTACTGAAAATGCATAATTATAAATAACAGTTGTCTATAACAAAATAGAAAAATGCACATGTACAATTTTTGTAACAAAACAGTATGCTCTGCAAATTATTCAATCCTTCCTTTTGGACACAACATGCTATACTCACATTAGTCATAAATTCCAATTGTGTTTTACTTTGCACTAACTTGTAACTGGGCAGACGGGATCAAGCAAACAATACAGGCTGTGATGTGAAGGTGCATAGGAATTTGGGAGATGCTTACTCTTTGCAGCAGAGGATGACATTGCAAAATGGTGCCATCCACACCAGCTGTTAACTTTTATAAGCAACATAAAAGTTGATCCTGATTTTTGGGGGATTTTTCAAGGCTTCAAAGTTTATATGCTGTAGTTTATAGTCGTTCTATGTGGTTGGAGTGAGGGCCACGCATGTAGTTCAGATGGTCTCTAAGTGCAAGTTCTACGGTATATCAGCACATCACTATATTGTTATTACTAAACACTATGAAAATGATGAATTTTTCATTCACAAGTCATTCGATAAGCATTGGGTAAATACACAAATAGATTTATTTCAAATATCAGTTTGGCTCTGTTGAGACAGAAGGCTGAATTTCAAACAACGCAACTTAAGATCAATAATAAAAAAAATTTAAAAAAATAAAAAGTTACAATCCAGGCAGACAGTGGGACAGTGATTAGCACTGCTGCCTCACAGCACCAGGGAGTCAGGTTCGACTCCAGCCTTGGGTGACTGCCTGTGTGGAGTTTGCGCATTCTCCCAGTGTCTGTGCGAGTTTCCTCTGGGTGGTCCAGTTTGCTGCCACAGTCCAGTGACGTGCAGGTTAAGTGGACTAGCCATGGTAAATGTAAGGTTATGGGAATAGAGTGGGTGGCATGCAGATTTGATAGGCTAAATGGCCTCCTTCAACACTGTAGGGGTTCTATGATTCAAAGAAAGAACGTGCTGAATTCCTAGAGTGATCATCTTTTGGAAGAGACATTAAACAAAGACACCAACTGCCTGTACAGATGGCTGAAAAAAAAAGATTCTACTGCACTGCTCAGAAAAGAGCAAAGGATTTTTCCCTCCAAATATGTAAATTTATCTTTCAACACTTTGGCTAATACCAAAGAGCTAAAAGATAATGCATCTTTGTAATTTTTTTTCTTCACAGTTTAAACAATGCTGACATATTAAACACTTAGTATATCATGCGGAATCACCATCCTGCAATCCCCTTCCTAACAGGACTGCTGGTGGCCTTGTAGCTCAAGGACTTCAGCAGTGCAAGAAAGCAATCACTACTGCCTTCCGCAAGGCAACTTGGAATGGGCAATAATTGCTGGTTCTCACCAGAGGTGCCCACATACTGTAAACAAATAATATAGAGAAAAAAAAATCTGCAACGAGAAGAAAGTTAGCTATATGATTACAACCATTAGCAGCAAAGTTCTACATAAAACAATGGAAGGAAATGTAACATTACTGATGTTACTCCACTTAAAATATCCCTGATTTTAACCACTCTGCTATTGATGACTGCCTCAATAGACCCAAAGTTAAGCAATTTCTTCCTGAAACAGCTCTACTTCTTTAGCTCACTTTTATCTTTTGAGCAACTCCTTAAAACCTAGCTTGTTGACCAAGCATTTGGTCATCTCACCTTTGTATCTCCACTTGCAGCTTGATATCATCTTTTCTTTTACAATACTTCTGTGAAATTCCACATAACATTTTATTACATTATTGGCACTGTTTAAAAATAGATTGATGTTGAAAGCCTCATGCTTTACAATACCCTGTTAAAGGATCAATCATGGGAATGAAATCCCACCTTAAAGATGATGTGTGGCAGGAAACAGCCAGCTTTCCTGTGCTCCTCTCTATGCCTTCAAGTTCATGTTCTTCATTTCCACTTCTCAAATGAAAGTGGTTTTACCACAAGAGTTGCTAAGTTGAGCACAGCAGTTAGACCAGTACCAGATAACCCACAAGTTTTGACATTAGCTTACCACAGTGACATTACAGTAGCTTGTACATACTTTTCAACATATTGCTAGTATTGGTCGACCAGCTTTCCTTTTCAATTTATTTTTGTTAGTGGAGTTAGGAACCTGGATTACTGCATTCAGTTCTGGGTGCTGCACTACAGGAAGTATTGTCCTTGGGAGGAGGTCATTACAGATTTGCCAGAAAGATACCAGGTCTAAAAAGAGTTGAATTTTAAGAACAGATTGCAGAAATAGAGCTTGTACTCCACAGAGTGCAGAAAATTAAGGTATGATCTAATTGAGGCATACGATTAAAGAACTTAATAGGATAGACAGAGAAACAATTTCCATTGGTCCGACGGTATCAACTAGGGCTGGGTATGGCAAAACTTTAAAATTAAGATTACAACAAAGCCCTTGTGATTTCAGGAAGCTATTCTTCACCCAAGGATTGTGAAAATCTGAAACATGTTTGCTGAAAAGGCTAGTCAATTTAAAAAAGAGAAATGCATAGATGTTTGTCAAGCAAGAATAATAAAGGAATATTGAGCAAAGACAGGTAAATACAGTTAAAATACAAATCAGTTGTGATAACCAAGAAGCAAAATGGCCTGTTTTGATGTGTAGGTAGAATTGATGTTGTGGTTGGTTGGCTCGCTGGGCTGGTTCATTGTTCAGCAGACATTTCATTACCCTGCTGGGTAACATCATCAGTGCAGCCTCCGATGAAGCGCCACTGAGTTTTCCCACCTGTCATTTAAAAACTCTGGTGTCCATTGAGCTGGATTATCTCACTTCCGGTTTTCCTTCGCAATGGAGTCTAGCTGTGTTTATTGATGGCTTTCTTAGTGCAGAACCAGGCCTGTAGGAATTCCCGTGCTTGTTTCTGCTTCATCCGTCCCAGGATCCTGATGTTGTCCCAATCGAATTGGTGGTTTTCCTTCTCCATGTGGATGGAGATGAGGGAGTATTGGTCATGTCTTTTTGTTGCCAGTTGATGTTAGTGTACCCTTATGGTTAATTTCCTTCCTGCTTGTCCAATGTAATGTTTTTCACAGTCTTTGCAGGGAATCTTGTATATGACATTGGTCCTGTCCATAGTGGGTAGTGGGTCTTTAGTTGGACAAACAGGAAGGAAATTAACCACAAGAGTACATGAACATCATCTGGCAACAAAAAGACATGTGCAATACTCACTCATCTCCATCCACATGGATAAGGAAAACCACCAATTCGATTGGGACAACACCAGGATCCTGGGACAGGAGAAATAGAGACAAGCATGGGAATTCCTACAGGGCTGGTTCTCCACTAAGCCATCAATAAACAGAGATAGACCCCAGAAACACTCCATTGCAAAGGAAAACTGAAAGGGAGGTAATCCAGCTCAATGGACACCAGAGTTTAAATGACAGGCAGGAAAACACCACAGTGCTTCATCGGAGGCTGCACTGATGTTACCCAGCAGGGGAACAAAACGTCTGCGAAACAACGAGCCAGCTCGGCAAGCCAACCAACCACAACCCGAGCTACAAATCTACTCTAAAATCTTAGGGGTAGAATTGATATTTAGATTACAGCATTTATTTCAATGCCAATACATTGGCTAGAATGACAAATTAAGTTTTGGGGAACCAAAAAATACATGCTGTAATTAAAGTTCAAAGGCACAAGAAAAGCCCCACTGTAAACCTCATCAACTGCAAGAAATTCAGCAGCTTAAAAAAGTGTGAATAGCCCCATTGGGTGCAAAGTTTAGGTGCTGTACAACTCTTTTTACCAACAAGTGGCTGAACATTCAGTGTGTCAGCTTAACAGAGATCAGGAATTTATAGTAAAATCTACAGCGTAGTTTGCTTTTGCTCCGAGACGTGGTATTGGAACAAAGAACAAAGTTCTGATAACTACCAGTGAATGTGCCACAAGTTAGGACTTGGGCATTGTTGTACAAGTGGATTTTTAATGGAGTGATAAGTTTAAATACCTACCAAACTGCCTTGCCAGCACTGAAACTTTACTTCTATGTAGGTTCTGATTCCCCTGTATTTTAAATTAGTGAAAATTATTTAAAAATTAGAAAATGATAATTTCAAAAATGTTACCCGCATGATTTTGCACTGAATGAAATATTTTAATTTACATTCCCCAATTCAAACTCTGTAGGTCTCGATAGGGATTCTTTAGCATGTTTGGCATGGTAACATGCTATCTTAGTTCTGGCTAGAAAAAAACATGTAAATTCTTTAAAACATCTGTGGAATCTATCACTGGATTTTCAAGAGCTTGCATTAATTGTAAAGGGATCAATTGAAATTTATTTGGAAAAGACAAACTGGTCCATGTAACCTGGCAGTCTTTAACCCAGAAACAGTAGTAATTAAGAAAAAAAGCCATGTGACTGGCAGATACAGTTAAGTGCTGCAAGTAGAGAATTTGAAGGCTTAAGCCCCAAATGTTTAGACACAAATAGAAAGCACACAGAGACGGAAAGAGGAAGAAACAAAACTCCTGTAATGACTATGATATCATTCTCAGGAAGAGTAACGTTCTTCTATCTGACATTAATAAAATGAAATGTTAGCTTTTGGAGGTATTGAGAGAGTTGATGAAATAGTGAACCACAATATTGTTTAAAAATAGTTGTTAAAAAGGAAATCCACAACATTAGCACTGAAGACAAACAGGCTTTATAGAAATGTATCTTGTTATTGATGATGATCACATCTGTTAAACCCAAAGGTGAGAGCTATTGTCAGATTGGACTTCTGATCTATCCTTTATGAATCAGGAACATGTTATCGAACTGTGCAATGGCACAATTCCACATTTGTGCAGGGAGTGATGCAAATGCTTGTGGTTCCACAAGATGTACTTTTATTGTATCAATTATTCAAGTGAATTTTTTTTTAAATTTGAAGCATCATTTGCCTGTT